GGGTGTCCATTGACAATATATAACTGTAGGTGTGTCCATCGACTTTATATAACTGGGGGGGGGTGTCCATTGACTATATATAACTGGGGGTGTCCATTGACAATATATAACTGGGGGGGTGTCCATTGACAATATATAACTGTGGGTGTCCATTGACAATATATAACTGTGGGTGTGTCCATCGACTTTATATAACTGGGGGGGGGGACGCGGTTAGGGTCTGGAACTCGTTGCCACAAGCAGTGATTTCAGCTAATAGTGTGGAATCGTTCAAGAAGCTTTTGGACGATTTCCTGAGAAACGGTAATATACAGGGGTACAAGTACTCCTAAAAACGAGATGACTCGGGGATCTTTACACACACACACACACACAATAGGTTGGACTTGATGGACATGTGTCTTTATTCAACCTCAAATACTATGTAACTATGTAACTATGTAATATATAAATGGTGGTGTGTCCGTTGTGTCGTGTATCCAAGTACATTGTGTTGGAAGGTGTCCCTCTTTTCTCGAATCATGGAAGGTATGGGAGGTGAGGGGAAATCTTCCATTGGGTTTAACCCTGTAGGATAGACCTTGTACTGTATTACTGTATTTGGTAAAACTGGCTTAAATTACCCAATCAAAAGTATTTGCTAGCTTTAGGACAGGTTGTCTATGGGATTACTAATGGTAAATCATCAGTGTGTAGAACATGTCTTCTTGTAGGATCAGAGGCCCTGAAACTTTTATGTATACCCAGAGATTGATGAGATTGTGTTTCATAGATGCTTTTGGTATAAACCATATAATGAAGCTTCACACATAAACACTATTCAGTTTTGAAAAGTACTACATTGTTTTAGCCTGAGAATACCCAGAGTCCAGTTCCATGAAAACTAACCCAACATGGTCTTTCTCCCGTAGAACATGTTGGCCAAAGCGTTGTACGATAATAAGGCCGAGTGCTCAGATGAGCTTGCCTTCCGCAAAGGGGACATCTTGACTGTGTTGGAACAGAACGTCTTCGGCAGCGAAGGTTGGTGGCGGTGCTATCTACATGGGCGGCAAGGCCTTGCTCCGGCCAATCGCCTTCAGCTCTTCACCATCCCGCAGAATGACTCTCTTTTGGCACACTCCACCTATAATTCCCTCGGGAGGCAGCAGACCCAGCAAAACATCTACCAGGTACCCTCGGCACCCAAGACGGAGGGTGGATCTATGTATGAGCAGATGGGAAACTTGTATATCACCCCGACGACACCAAAGACCCCACCTGGGGACATCTATCAGACTCCGCTGTCATCTCCTGCACAAATAATTTATGATAAAGCCAACAGCTCTTCCAATCAGGTAAGGTTATGTAGATAGATGTCACCAAGGGGAGGATTTATAAATCATCCACCTAGCCATGCACTGGCTGAATCCCATTTGCACAGCATTCTCACCACTAGATGGAGCCAAGGAAGATAAGAATTTCTAGTAGTGATCTAGGGATGTTGATCTGGGGAGTGTCCTGATGCCTCTGGGGATTAGAAAGGATTTTTCCTCTATTAGGGCAAACTGGATGACACTTTTATAAGGACCACAGTGTACTAGTAATCGTGATGCGGGTGACAACTCACCGACGACGTGATTGCTATACCGGGCAGAGTACATGCCTTGCTCCCCCGATGGCTGAATGAGCTAGTTGTTGCTCTGTTGCTGGTGGTGATATTGTGCAGCGACTGCCAATGACACCTTGCTCATCCAGCCAGGGAGAGAGGGTGACCTATCCAAACAGGTTTAGCAAACCAGAGGCTGCCTTCTTCTGGACAGCCTGCAGTTTTTGGGCTCCGAGGATGCAAGGTTTTTGTATCTTTTGGTTGCATTCAATGGACACATGTCTTTGACAACTTTACAATAACAATAATGTGTGCTCACAAGGTTGTAACAGTAACCTCCGTAAAGCGCTGTGGGTGCCTCGTTGAACTGATGCTCCGGGATGTTGCACCACACAAATGTTTAAGCTCTTGACATATTCAGCTGTTTCGGAGCAGCTGGGTTGCGTCCCCACAGGAGCCAGAAACGGGACGGTGCGCAGGCCTCTCCACTTCAGGCTCCGTGCGGGTAGAGAAGCATTCCTGTCCTGCTTTCCTCATCAGTCAGCAAAATTTTTTATTTATAGAAATGCTGTTTTTCTTTTTTGTATCTTGTGAGGAACAAGCTGTTTAAGCCTCTAATGTACAGGTCATACGCCACTGAGCCTTTAAAAAAGCAGGAAACCTAAAACAAAAATGACTGAAAACACATAAGAAATATGTACAGAAAGGTCCTCAAACCTGTATAGCAACAGAGATACAGAGTTGCTTGAAGATACCTCTGCTCAAATTTAGTAGGCTTTTCAAAATGAATTTCAGATATATCTACTTGTCTTGATGGGTCCATAAAAGTAAAATCATTATATAATTTCATCTTTTCTTGTTGTCTCTTTCTTGGCACGCAGCATTTGTTCACTCTCCCACGAGCCTCCAAGGCGTCCAGCATAAGCAAGACAGAGGTGTACGATGTCCCACCCTCCAAGCTGAACACAACACCCTCCACACAGGTACCATGCAGCTGTAAACCTATTTTTTATTTTAAACTTGAAAATGATTCCAGTCAGTGTTTGTTTTCTACAAATAAGAATGCTTCCCTGATTGGTTTTTACTTTGCTAGTGCAATGAGGTAGGGTTTGAACCCAACCAGATCTCTACAGCTGTCTTTGACCACTGCAAGGAGGTCTACCTACCTTTAGTCCCTCTGTTGGTTCCCACCTGTGACTTGAACTTCCAGGGTCCTCCGGAGTCATTCTATAGGGACCATTGTTAAGGTTTCACTGCCTCTTTCCCTAGCAATATTTAAAGAATATGGGAAGATGGAAAGTAACCAGGAAGTTCCATTGACGGCTTTCGTAGAGGTTCTACTTGAATTTATGGATGCCCACCTATTGATTCATTCAGTTACTGAAGCCACTGTTGACCAGACTTGCAAAAAAAATGTTCTTTATGGTTTTGTTTGAATTTCTTACTTATTTTGTTGCAGAGGGGTAGAACCCCATCACCGATCAATGGGCGGTCGCCATTTCTCTTAGCAATGGAGCAAAGTCAACAGCAGCAAATTTACGACATCCCATCAAGCCCAGACACCCCAGAAAAGAGCAACCCCAAGGCCTCCAAAGCCTCCATTGTAGGTTAAAGAGGATACTTTAATACGTTTTAAAGTCTGCAATAATCACTTTCTGATATGGCACAATATAAAACAACAGTATAATAATAATAATAAAAAAGCTAGTACTTTTATTTAAAAAAGCCGTCTTTGAGTTCCAGTCGGTGACTTTGCCTAGACTAAAATAATGTCATCAGTCTGTTGTAGGCAGGAGGAAGTATTTCAGTCCATATTGAATTACCATTTTTTACTAAATTCCTCCTGTGCTGATAGCATCACATATCTGAAGTGTGAGATAATCTAAGGCACTGCTGCTTCTGGCTGCAAGTCTCACTAGACTTGGAGTGATATTTGGTGAGGGTACTACTGTGCTGATCACTGTTCTCCTTGCTGGAATGGAAGCTGTACCTGAGAACCTGCAGTGCAAGTATCTCCCTGCTACTGCTTTATTCATTCTGTAGATTTGTGCTTCCTCCACCTCTCCTGCTTCTTCTTGAATACCCCCCCACCAGTCATCAGGGCAGCTCTGACATAAGGAAGCAAAGCCCTGCCTCCAACAAGATGGCCATCCCTGCACGTCTTAAGAGTCCAAAGTGTTTTATTATTTCCTCTGGACTTGAGATGTTAGTCTGGGGCACTCGTTGGCTCATCTGCATGAAATCTTCTCAATTTGGATGACCCATACCTCGTGGGGGAACCCCTGATTTGTGGAGAGCGTCCAAACCCAAGCCAGTATTGATCAGCCAAGGATCCGTGTCTATCACCTTGTTTAAGACTTTTTCTTGGAGAGTGCAAAACAAGGCAGGGCAAGTCAATAATGGGGAAAGGGTTACCTTTAGGGAGATGACAGACAATATTACTGACTTGTCTTTTGACCTCTGTTTGCATTTTTTGGTCACAGCTTCCACAGTTTGTTCAATATAACCACCAAACATGTTAGATCTGTTGCAGATCATTCTGCTTCATGTTATGAACTTTTATAGGTGTCATATAAGACCCATGTGCCACCTCCTAGGTGGAAAATATATATTGACCATTTCATATCTCTTTCAGGTATACGATATCCCACCGACTGGAGCGCTGGTTCAGACGAACAGGAGTGACACACCACCTGTTGCTTTCCAATACAGCACCCTACCAAATCCTCGCAAGTCTGACTGGATTTACGATATTCCTTTGTCCCCTGAGAGAAACATTTTAAAACCCAACGGCCGAAAGATATCCATGGATCGAAATATGGTGTACGATGTGCCGCCAACTCGATATGGGCCGGTTCATTCCAAGACAGAGAGCAGCTCTCCGACTAATCAAATATATGACGTCCCGCCCAATAAGTCAATAGCAGCCAGTCAATGTCTTTATGATATTCCAGCTTCTCGTGACACTTCCCCTTTGTATCAGAATGGAAGCTTACAAAAAGGCTCATCGAGCTTCGGGAAACCAAAGACGGAGAAGATTGACTCCAAGGAAAATGTTTATGATATACCAAGAGGGTCGGCAGTTGGGTCTCCACCAAAGCTAGAAGTGAGTAGCCCGGTGTGCAGTGATCAGATTTATGATGTTCCGCCACCGCTACCGAAGGACAACAAACCCTCTCTACATCAGCCTCAATACGACAGGTTATCTGTGTCAAGTTCAGAAAGTCGAACCAGCACTTTGTCTACTTCATCTACAAATTCTAGCGAGTCTGTGACCTTTTCCACTTCTGAAGACAGTTCAAGTGAAGTGATTCTAGAACTAGAAGTAGTTATCAAGAACATAACTGAACTGCAAGAACGGGTGTCCAGTTCCATTGCAAGTCTAATGATCTTCGTGAGCAGTAAGTGGAGACTGCAGGGAAATATGGAATCAAACCTCGAGGACATTCACAGAGCTGTCAATAGCATCATCTCTTCTTTGAGGCAATTCATCGACTTTGCCCGGACCATCAAAGCCAGCACAGCTCACTTAACGGACGTTAACATCCAACTCAGGATTAACAACCAGTTGCAAACTCTCTCAGATTCTTTCCTGACTCTTTCCAAGAACCAAGAGTCCATTAATCTTTGCAACTGGTCTTTGGAAGCACTGGTCATGGATAAACCCCGCACCGCACCTGATGACCTTGACCAGTTCGTCATGGTAGCCAGGACGATTCCGGAAGACATTAAGAGATTTGTGTCCATCATTATTGCCAACGGAAAGCTTTTGTTCAAAAAGCAAGAAGAGAAAAGGCCAAAATCTGAAAAAGGATATACGTTGTCCCGGAAACCTCAAGTGCCAACACGACCAGACACAAAGGTCCTTCAGGAATTCTGTATAAACCGGTCAGAAGAACAAGGCAAAGATAAAAAGTACCAGCTGCCAAAACAGAAATCTGTAGAAGACAGCGGATATGTGTACCTGCAGGTTAGTACTTCATCCGGTGTATTTGATACTGAAGAGGTCTATTGCAAGCAGTATATTTGGCAAATGTGACCAAAAATTGTAATGTTTTTCTCCAGTTTTCCAGAACCAATATAGATTACATTTTTTGCTCTTTTTATATTGATCAATTCCAGTACAAGGGTCTTTTTACTTTGATCTTATTAGTTGCCACTCATTCAAGCAATGCTCCAGGCAAACAGGAAACATATAAACATGAGCTCTCATATGAGATCTCATAGGCAAATCTTACAAATTATTGCTCGCTGTTTAAAGTTGAAGGTGGAGAAAATGCAGGCAACCACATGCACCATGGGAGACCTGAAACCTGGAGCAATCTAATCCAACGGTTGGCACATCATGAAGTGGTCAAGAGTTCCCTTACCTTCCTACTGGCCTATCGGTGTGATGAGTGGTACCACTGTCCACTAGGAAGGCTTGGGAAGCAGACCCATCCTTGATGTTTTTGGGAAGTGTCATAATTTGAATATTAGAGCACCCATGGTTTTAGGTCTCCCACCATGCTCATGAAGTGTCAAGAATCATGACCATGTACAGGCAATTCTCAACTCAACTCATGACAGCTGACCTGTATATCACCAGCTTTAGGGTGCACATGCACACCTTGGTTGTTTCAGCCACTGCAATTGGTTTGAGCATTACTTTAATTATGACTTGGCTGGGGATGGGTTCCTTAGAAAACAACAAGTGTCTCTGGTTGATGGTGCTCAAAGTCTACTCTTCAAAGGAGAAAAAAAAGAGAACAAACCTAATATTATATGTACCAGTGGGTGTAGTCGGGGTGTAATTTTGACTGCTTTGTGGGCACAGTGGTGCACCTTCCGTTACAACCCAGGCTAGCAAGCACACAGTGAAATACATGTATGAAAGCTGTTTTAGCTGCCAGAGGATATACGTTTCAGCCCAGTCCCAAGATTCACCCAGCCCTCTAGATAGCAAAGCCAGTTTGGTTACCTGACTTTCCTCTACTACAGCAACACAGCTTGGGTCTCCTCCCCACCCCAGCCCAAGCTGGTTAATGGGACAATTAATCTTTGCAAGCACTGGTCATGGATAAACCCCGCGCCACACCTGATGACCTTGACCATTTCGTCATGATAGCCAGGACAATTCCGGAAGACATTAAGAGATTTGACTAGCAAGCTACTGAGACAATCACATTAGTTTGGGGTTGATAAAATGCAATAAACTGAACTCTGATGTTCATCTGACTATGCCCACAAATAATTTACAGCCGCACTGACCAACCTGGTCTCTGCCAGCATACAACTGTAGCATCTGTGTCACCACCAATGCTTACTAGATAAAGCAGACCGCTCACTTCCTTCTCTACCTCATTCTGATATCACTAAAAATAAAAAAATCGATATTCAAATGTATTTCTCTTTTCTAGAAAAAAGAAGACTTTGAGAACATGCAGCAGTTGTCCTCAATGCAGCAGCTTGAACGTAAAACCAGCCCCGAAGAAAAGGTAACGGCTACATCCTGCCAACCACTGGCAATGATGTTTTCTACATAATATTGTATTCATAAACCTATTAGATATGTAATAACTGGCGTGAATATATGCGTCCAGGATTGGATGATATATGTATAGCTCTACAGAAACACAGTGCCCCCTGGTGGAGCAGAGCTGGAAGAGACATTGTTGGCCGTTGTCTGATGAAATCTTGTTGCTTTTTTTTTTTCTTTTAGAGAAAAGGATGGTTAAAGCCGGATTCACGCATATACACAAGTGAAGACCCGACAGAGAAAAGTGTTACGCGTTTATCAAAAGTAAGTGAGGTGTGGCTACAAGCCGGCCAGAACTTTATAAATGAAGTCTTATGAGACCAAGCTGATAATATAAGATGGCTACAAGCCGGCCAGAACTTTTATAAATGAAGTCCCATGAGACCAAGCTGGCAATATAAGATGGCTACAAGCCGGCCAGAACTTTTATAAATGAAGTCCCATGAGACCAAGCTGGCAATATAAGATGGCTACAAGCCGGCCAGAACTTTTATAAATGAAGTCCCATGAGACCAAGCTGATAATATAAGATGGCTACAAGCCGGCCAGAACTTTTATAAATGAAGTCCCATGAGACCAAGCTGATAATATAAGATGGCTACAAGCCGGCCAGAACTTTTATAAATGAAGTCCCATGAGACCAAGCTGATAATATAAGATGGCTACAAGCTGGACAGAACTTTTACAAATTAAGTCCCATGAGACCAAGCTGATGAAATAAGACTAACTGGCACTGAAATAATTATTAAAAAAACGCTAATTATTGCTTCTTATTTACTAAGATTAACCCTTTCCTAGCTATCGAAAACTAACAGGGTTATTCACGAAAGGGTGAAGAGTTTGGAGAAGGCTGGAGAAGTGAACAATCTAGGGGAACATAGCTGATCTGGAAAAATTCTCCAATTCGGCTCGCTGTCCAGTTCAGCGATGTTGCCCTAGATCAGGGGCGCCCACAATTTTTCATTTGAAGATCTACTTTTAAAATGGCAAGCTCAATGAGGTCTATCAACCAACCAAAAATGCTGCTATTTTTGCAGATCGCACTGGGCCATTAATGTGCCTGCGTTCCGGGTGCGGGCGATCGCACTGCAGACGGGGGGTGTGTGGCTGCGGTGCCATTGACTTCAATGCACCGCCATGCCCCCTTCTGCCCCTGATCGCAGGGAGCTGGCTGGCTTGCGTTCCAGTGCGCTCTAGAGGCCGAACACTCTGGAACGCAGACTTTGTGGAGTGAACCGGCCCTCTCTCTTGGCTGTCTCTTCTCTCTCTCCCCTGTTTATATCTGCTGTCTCTTCTCTCGCTTTCTCTGCTCTCTCCTGGCTATCTTTTCTTACCTCTGCACTACAGCAGCTTCCCGGGTATCCTCTCGTGCGCAGACGCCCTGTCCTCCCGCGGTGCTCATGTGGCCGAATGTGCAGCCTGGAAAAGGTGTCTCGCCCCTTCCTGTCTGCGGCGTCTGACACATTCAGCCGCACGAGCACCGCGGGAGGACAGGACACAGGTCAGTGAGCCGATCGCAATCTACCAGTGTTCGCTTTGGGCACCCCTGATCTAGATTGTTCTCTTGCCTTCTCCAAACCCTTCACCCTTTTGTGAATAGACCTGTTAAAAATAATTTAAGCTTTTGATCTTCCATAAAAAAATATAATACAAAACAGAAATATATATTTTCTTCCTCTGCAGGCTCCGCCGGTACCTCCGAATAAACCAGACATCCTCCAAAAACACGATTCCGTCAAGAAACTAGCTCTGTCCAATCAGTGCTACCTATACTTTGGCGCCCTCCAGAAGGCCATCCGAGTCTTCGGCGATAGCCTGAGCAAACAGGAAACGCCCGAGGTCTTCATCACCCACGGCAAGCTCATCATCATGGTCGGGCAGAAGCTGGTGGACATGCTGTGCCAAGACGTGAGGGTCGGCGAAGCACGCAACGACGTCCTCTACAAGAGCAGCGAACTGTGCGGCCTGCTGAAGAGCTTGGCGCTGGCGACCAAGACGGCCGCCATTCAGTACCCCAACACGGCCGCCATGCTGGAGCTGCAGCACAGGACGGCCGAGCTGTCCAATCACACGCAGCTTTTCAGGTCGATGCTGGAATGACAGGGGCCCGTCTGTTGACTTTTTTATTTATTGACTTCTTCTCGGAACCAAAAAAATGGATATTTTTGGGGTAGTGAAGGAAAAAAAACGATCAAAGTTCAAAGACCGCGGTCATAATGAGCTGAGGTCCGCAATATGGCGCCGCAATATGGATTTCCATATTGCGCAATATGGATATGGCGCCGCAATATGGATTTTTATGACAAAAATAGTGACCATAGTCTGAAGACCTTCATGAGCTGAAGTGCCGCCTTATGACTGGATAAGTGCCAACAACGCGGCCAAACAAGCAAGGAACAATACATGGTCACTTACCAACAAACGTAAACATTGGCCAGGTATTGGACAATGATCAAAGAACAAGGTTTAAGAGTTAAAGTGTTTGTCCAGAACTTTTTGGGGGGGGGGCTTTGGATGGCGGGCGGAAGAATTAGAACCCCTTTCAGGTTTTAACTGCTATCCGGGGCACCTTTAGAGGGATATCTCCAGACAGGAAGTGAGGTACATTTCTAACAGCAATACAGGCAGATTGCTTTTTAGTGCTGTTTGTGTCCCCGCTGCAGATTTTACTTCACTTCCTGTCTGGGAAATCTTTTTGCCAGAGGTATGTGATCCCTAACTTCTTTTATTTGCTTCCTTTTGGTTTGTTAAATTCACCATTGGATTCATTTTGTTATTTCTGTTTCATAAATGCAAAAAATACCTGTTAATTGTGTCAGGAATTCAGAGCTGTCCTGTGTCCTCTGCACACTTCCTGTGTTAGCTCAAGGAGTCCGCCTAGTTCTTACCTTAGGCTACAGAGCAATTACTCTCTATATTGTGGTGATGAGGAGAGGGGGAGGGATTCAGTAGTTTAACAAAAAGACAACTGGCCAGGGCTGACACCGTATTACACTCACCTCAGCCTCAGCATGGATCCCACACGGTTGCTAACACTTTCCGTTTTTACCCAAAGTGCCGGCACTACAGCCAATCAGGAGACAGCATTTCTGACTGGTGCTCGCTTACAGGACCGGGCGACGCATTGCTGAAGGTTTGAGCAACAACTCACTATGCCTAATCCGAACCCTTCTGCTTCAGTCCCCTGTGCTGCCTCCAGTGACTCCTGTGTCTCCAGTAACTCCTATGCAAACCTGGGTCTACAGTGACTCCCTTGCGCTCCTGTGTCTCCAGTGACCCCTGTGCGCTCCTGTGTCTCCGGTGACCCCTGTGCGCTCCTGTGTCTCCGGTGACCCCGTGTCTCCAATGATTCCTATATGCTCCTGTGTCTCCAGTGGCCTATGTGTGCTCCTGTGTCTCCAATAATCCCTGTGCACTCCTATGTTCCCTGTGACCTCTATGTGCTCCTGTGTCTCCAATGACCCCTGTGCACTCCTGTGTCCTTTGCGCGCTCCTGTGTCTCCAGTGACCCCTGTGTGCTCCTCTGTATCCAATGACCCATGTGCACTCCTGTGTCTCAAGTGACCCCCTGTGTCTCCATTGACTCCTATGCGCTCCTGTGTCTCCAGTGACCTCTGTGCGCTCCTGTGTCTCCATTGACTCCTATGCGCTCCTATGTCTCCAGTGACCTCTATGCGCTCCTGTGTCTCCAGTGGCCCCTGTGCACTTTTTTGGTTCCAGTGACCCCTCTGCACTATTGTGTCTCCAGTGTCCCCTCTGCACTCCTGTGCCTCCAGTGTCCCCTGTGCGTTCCTGTGTGCTCCACTGACCCCTGTTCACTCCTGCGCTTCAAGTGACCCCCATGCACTCCTGTGTCTCCAATGACCCCTGTACACTCCTGTGTCTCCAATGACCCCTGTACACTCCTGTGTCTCCAATGACCCCTGTACACTCCTGTGTCTCCAATGACCCCTGTACACTCCTGTGTCTAAAATGACCCCCATGTACTCCTGTGTCTCCAATGACCCCCATGCACTCCTGTGTCTCCAATGACCCCTGCGCACTCCTATGTCTCCGGCGACCCCTGTGCCTTAATGCACCTCTAAGCACCCCCATGTCTCCAGGTGTGCTGCTATACTCCTCTGTAACTTCAAGTGTGCCCCCCTCCCAAATAGCCTCAGGTACATGCTGCAGTTGTCTGGCAGATCATCAAATATTTTTCTCTTCTTGCAGTGTCTTTAAAGGCAAAAACCACAGGCAAAGGCGCATATATTGCAGAAATGTACAGCAGATTTACTCTGGCACGCACTCTGGACAGCAGTAAACACCAACAGTGATTGTAATCCTACCCGCTCTATCCCAAACAAAACAAATGGTTGAAGTGGAACATGGACTTTGTAAAGCAGCATTGCTTATTGCACGCAATGTATTGATATGCCCGTCAGGTTTGTAAGATATAGCCTGCGCCCGCACAAGGGTGGCACAGCATTACATGAAATGAATGAGCCCAGCGGCTTCCACTCACCACCAGCATATTGGCCAGCTTGGGGCAGATTTCGGTCCCTTCTGATTGTATCTCGTTGCGCCTCGGCAGACCCTCGGTGCTTTCTTCAATGAACAGTCTGTGAAGATCCATTGCCATACCCGTCACCGGCCTGCTCTCATTATAAGTCGGGAGTCCAAAATGGCGGCACAATGGCTCATCCATATACTGTAAAGGTTTTATTTTAAAATGAAATGTGTACAGACTTTCTATTTTCTTTGTATGTGTATTGTGACAGAAATGTGTATTTAATATAAAGCCGTCCCGTGAAATGTGTCGTCTCCCAGATTGTTTTATTTCCTCTGATATGAAAATATCATTCGGTGTGGCCCCAACGGACGTAAACAAGCCGCCACAGGTCACAATGGGAAGTCAACGCCTCTGATGAACAGCTGCCAATCAGCCAATACGTATGAGCCAATTCATTTCAGCTGCCATGATATATATATATAATATAGGTCAGAGGAAGTGGTCGAGTCAACTCTGTCATCAGTTCCGAGGCACATAATATCTTGTTATAAGTCATTCTATCTAAATGTGTATCACAGTTGTGGCAGCCAGGAAATTATATTATTATAAACAATTAAAAGATCATTTGAAAAAACATATATAAATATACTATATATACAGGGCGTGGCTACGGTGCCATTGAGTTCAATGCACCGCCACGCCTCCTCCCGCCCCAAAACAAAGTGAGCCAGCCGCAATGCGATCCAGTGCGTTCCGGCCTGAGTTGGCCCATAAAACATACTGTGACTGGTGTGAAGGGCAGCGAAGGAGCAGAGTTTTATGGTAGATGGGGAGGGCTTTGTACAGGGACTCCAGAGCATCAAACCAACAAAACATCTGCTTGTCTGAAAAAACAACCCTAAACTCAGGTCCCTGACTAACAGGGTGTCCTCTAATGGGTTCCCCAAAACAGACAGACAGTAACTATTTAGTGCTCTGTATACACTCAGCCTTTTCACTCAGCAGCAGAGAGAGACAAAAAGGGAGAG